AATACAGGCAAATCTAGAGAGACATGAAAACATATTTCATATATGAAGAAAAACATGAAATGAAGAACATTTGGATGGATTCTCTATTCTCAAATGTCTTAAAATGGAGAGAAAACATGAAATGAAGGACATTTGAATGGATTCTCCATTCTCAAATGTCTTGAAAGGGTTTTGAGGTATGAAATAAATGATAGAAGTAGTGAGACATATTAAAAATGTTTGATATAGGAAGAGAACTCATGAAAATGTCGATATAGAAAATATCTAATAATACATTAACAAATGTCTACAACTCTAACAAAATCTTAATATATGTAATATAAAGTGTAGTATGATTTATAAATTGTAATCTTTGAAATATAAGGTGTAGTACAAATATATGAAAATCTTAATATATGAAATATAGCATCATATCATCGTTAGAGTAATATAAGTTTATAAAGTATAGTTTTTGAAATATAAGATGTAGTACAACTATATGAAAATCTTAATATATGAAATATAGCATCATATCATGGTTAAAATAATATGAGTTTATAAAGAATAGTCTTTGAAATAAAGCCTCGTACAACTATTTGAAAATCTTAATATATGAAATATAACATCATATCATGGTTAGAGTAAAATGAGTTTATAAAGTAGTATTTGAAATATAAGGTGTAGTACAACTATATAAAAATATTAATATATGAAATATAGTATCATATCATGGTTAGAGTAATATGAGTTTATAAAGTCGATATATGATGTATATACAAAAAAATGTCAACCAAGAAATTATAATGTTGGAAATCTATAGATTGGAATCGTGTAATATAAGGTCTATACTACAATATAAATGTATGAAATATATTATGAAATATGTTTAGAGTAATTAATGGGAAGAAAGAGAATAAATAGGATATATGTAATATGTGATATGATTTGTAACAATATATATATATATATATATATATATATATATATANACCAAGAAATTATAATGTTGGAAATCTATAGATTGGAATCGTGTAATATAAGGTCTATACTACAATATAAATGTATGAAATATATTATGAAATATGTTTAGAGTAATTAATGGGAAGAAAGAGAATAAATAGGATATATGTAATATGTGATATGATTTGTAACAATATATATATATATATATATATATATATATATATAGATATATGCCCAAAAAGTAAATTATTAAAATTTCATTAATGAGGATACAGATAACTTCCATAAGTAGATTTTTCAAAGGTGTCTTTACTTTTAATAGTATAGATTAAGGAAAGTGTGTGTGAAACATAATATCACACCAAGCAAAGTAATGTATTTTGCTATTAACGTTTATGAAATACTTATTAAAAAAACCGACGTCGAGTAGGCTCAGTGGTAAAAGGAGTCGGTTTGTGGTAAAAGGAGTCGGTTTGATCCGCGTTCAAATGTATTACTTCCGTTTCATTTTACTTGTCGTTTTAGATTTTTACATTCAAGTTAAGAAAATATTTGACTTTATATATTTTTAAAACAAAAACACAATTACCTATATACTTAATCACTTTTTAACCAATAAAAATATAAAATTATGTAAAATTAATAAATTTTGCATCAAAATTATAAAATAACAATGACATGTAAACTGAAACAAAGGGAATACTATTTACAAAGTTTGAGTTCTAGGTGAAAACATCTTTTACCCAAAGAAATACTTATAAGAAATCAAAAGATGTAATGTCACTTTTAGCTTCCATTAATATTTCTTGCTTCGTAGTGAGTGTTAGTTAGTCGGTGTTTAGTCAGTTTAGCTTAGAGTCAAAGCTATCGTAAGCAACTCTCTTAATAATAATAACACAATCAGCTTAAACTTCATCAAATAATTAAAGTTTGCGTCTCGAAATCCTACTTATAAGTAATAGTGATGTGGTAATAATAGTGAAATGATCATGCTCATCTTGAACTTTTCTTTAAAGAGCTTCACTCAAATGTTTCAGTATGTTAACAACAAGAATATTTATCAACAAACAAACAAACTATGCATCATGCGGGTTTTAGCAATAAAAACAATTTTTATATTGGTGATTTTTTTTCTATATTAGTAACATTCTAATCAAATAGTGACTGAATTATATATGCTCCATGGGCAGTTCTAGTGATGATTATACGAACATGCATCATCGACTAGTAGACATAATAATTTAGTATGTTATTATTTACAAATTTACAATTTTGTCAAAATAGAGACGAAACCACCCAGTTGTTTTTTTTTCTTTATATCAAACGGTTGATTCATTACTTAAATTTGAGGTGACCTGGGGTTAATCACCCTTGTTTTTGAATGCTTAGTAGACATAATAAATAATGATATTATTTAGTTTTAAAATAGATAAGTTTTGGTCTTCCATTAAACAGGTGGGTACCTTAATCGATTCGAAAGCGGACACGGCACACCCCCAAAACTCCGGGATCATTTTCATCATGCGTTGATTCTATCAAAGTTGTAAAACAATTAAAAGTAAATTATCTTCTAAGAAAAAAAAAAATTATCTTCTAAGATTTGTAGTTAAACCACTAAACCAACCTGTTAGTTAAGGTGTGTGGGGATGACATCGCTTTGATTGTTAATAACTGGGAAAAAGAAAAGGAAAAGGCCTTTAATAAAAGTTACATCTCTATCTCACAAACACAAAAAACACTATCTAACTACTTTGACAACTTCATTACACTAAAAAGGCAATAGTGTGCGTGTTATTTCCTTTTGAAGTTTCCATTGCTTATTTTTGTGACACTGCGACAGTAGTAATGCAAACTACTTGAAATATCTTCCTATTATCAGGATGGAGCATATTCTCAGGTATTAATATTTATTTCAGATAAACTATAGACCTAAGATCGGTAACAAAATAGCCAAACATTTGTCTGCATTCTAAATCATTTACTCAAACATATCCAAACTAATAAGTTATAACCTTAATTATTCCAAATGATTCCTTCTACTAGACTATTCAACCCGGATTTATCTTCTTCTTTTTTTTGACAAATCCGGATATATCATTATATTCAGTTCTTGACAGCATAATATTTAGCACTATATCGTATTAGAGAAAATGACTAGAATAGACCTAAAAATTTTTTTATCACAAATATAGACCTTAACAATAGAATGACCAAAATAACACTTAAATATTTTATTAAATATACATTTATACCCTTGGGTTAACTAATCCTAGATTTTTTTTTGTTTAGAATTAGGGAGTGGGGTGTTGAGTATAGGGTTTCGAATTTAAAGAAACTTAAAATTTTCAAAATAAAAGTGCTATTTTGTTCATTTTAATTTTCGAGGTCTATTTTTGTGATAAAAATTTAAAAGAGGGCTATTTGAGAGAATTGCCCATTGTATTATTCAGCCGAATTTTTATGTACAAATTGTTTCTTTTCCAACTGTATAATATTCTCAATCATCTAGGTTCAGAGTAATTTGATTTATATATTCTAAACACAACATGATATATCACAATAACTATTTGTTAGACGTCATTTACATTGATGATAGATTTGTTATATAGTAGTTGAAATTAAAAAAAGATATGTACTTGTTTGACAAACAAAACATTAGATACGTATACCCAAAAAAGACATTAAAGATTGATATAAAGTTCAAATGTTAGGTCTAATATACAACTACACGCATGACGCTTGTATTGTAGTAGGTGTTTTATTAGTACGTTTGTAAGATCCATGTCCATTACTGTACAATTAAAATGCTCTTTTAAAATCATTATGGATTAATATTTTATCAGCGAAGTTTCTTAAGATCATGGTGACTTGAAGCATACTTCATAGATTATTGGCTAATCATATTTGTTTGTTCACTAGAGACACCAAAATATATTAGTTAGCCAACTTTGAAAGTAATTAAAATATTCAAAACCTTTTTTAACAAATAAGTAGTAATCATTAATTAATACTCTTACCTTTCTACTTTCCAGAGCATCCTTTCCACTTAACCCCAATACATTCTTATTTTCAAAAGCTTTTTTTTTCTTTACATTTTTGGTGCGATTTTTCTCACATTACCACTGTGTATGTATCATATATATTAATCCTTCCTTTTCTATTTCTCTCAATATAATTTAAGATTGTAAAAACGAAGTAAGCTTCTATTTGTAAGTCACTAAAACAATTAAATTGTTCACAAAGTTTCTCGCATGCCTACCAATTTTTTCAGGACTTTTAAATATGTATTTGTTTCTATACACAAAATCCAAAATATATTGTCTCGAACAATTAGCTTCTGTGACAAGTGTAATGGAGAAATGCAAAATTTAGTTAATCCCCAAGTAGAATATTCTCTATATTTAACTGCAAGTAGTTTTTACTTTAAGACCAGTGTCAGTCCTGAGAATATAAAAATCTGAAACAACTAAGAAAAAATTAATGTTCATTAGTTAGTACTATAGTATTCTTTTTGAAAATATATATTTTAAAAATAGAGATGAAAGAATTGAACTGCTAATATATTTCTCATAACCAGCGACATTTACCATTAAACTTCTTGAGCACTTTATTTATTTTTGATTAAAGATTATTATTTAAATAAATCAGTCTGGAAATCGAAGCTTTTTGTTTCTCTCAAGTCCGGTTCTGTATACAGTTCAAAATTCGGTATTACTCAATTATTTGAAATATGGGGTTTGCACAAAACATGATACCCATGGGGAACTGTTTGGTGTATAATATTATAAAATTATCTAGCATAGCCAAGTAATTATTCACTATACTTATCTAATTATGAGTGCCCTTGTATAAACCAATATATGTGGTTTAAGTACTTGATTTTGGTTGTTCCCAAGTTTCGTAGAGGTGACGTTACACAAATTGCACGAAATGAAGGACGCTAATTTAAGCACGAGCTATATCTTTTGCGGTGCTGCTCGGTCTACTCATTCAATCTATTGAACTTTTATCATCTAGATATATATGCATGCATTTTTGGTTTATATTAATAGTTATTTAAAAAATTAATATCAATTTGTTTCAACCATTTATTTTATTTATTTATTCTTTGCAATTAATATAACCTACTTTTACTTTGTTGGAATAATGTTTCAACTAATATAATGATGTCTAGAAGTCCATAGAAGTTCCATGAAGATCACAACTTTTCTGCTCGCACTCTAACTTTCCCCATCTTGCATCCACTCTCTCGCAAGGGAACACCAATTTCCCCAAACTGCAAAATATTAGAATTGCACATGTGGATCATAAGTTCTCATTTTTTTCATTTCATACCCTCAAAACTTTCAGTTTCTTTTAACTATACCCCATAACTTTGAGATGTACAAAAATGCCCCTACCCATAACGCTAATTTCACTTTACCTTCTATTTACAGTGTTGTGTACATGGCAAAGCCACTGCGAGAACTCCTCCTGAGATCCAGCTTGTGTAGGATTCGATCTATCATGAACCAAACCAAGAATGAAAGCGTGATAAAAATGAACTACAGTAAAAATGCAATGAGCTACAAGATGTGTTTACCTTAGGATTTCTTTAAAATGATCCGCACATTCTCTACAAGGGTACATTCTAGAAAGTATCCCCATCTAAACCACCGATAAAAAATGTTTCATTATAAGCTTTCACATGAAGAACATTTGGGATTGCAGGTTCTTAAGAATAACTGGTCGAAAAGGTAAAAGTGTTGATAGTTTTTCAAGCTAAAAATACTAGCATTATTACCTATTTCAGCTTGATCTAATAAACTGACGTCTATAAATTAGATAAGGTAGGAAGAGTCGTACCAGTTCTTTTACATCCTTCTTTTGCTGCCTTGTTGGTTTTTCTGGATACTGATGAGCAAAAAAGAAACATCTGATTTAGAATACATATCTGAGTTTAAGCTATTCTTGTAAACTGGTAGAGGTCTCATGAATGTGATATGATATACGCATAGGAATGACCAAACCTAAACCAGAACTCTTTATTTCACTCTGTAAATCATACAGAGAGCAATCCAAAGTTAATCAAAAGATTCCAACCAAACAACCAAAAGATTCACATAAGACCGCTCTTAAGCATGTGCAGCTCTCATGTATAAACCAAAAAATGTATAGAAAGTAGTAACGAGTGTTGAACCAAACTGTAAAAGAAAATATGACTAGAATTAAGAAAAAACTAGGAAACCCCAACCTGTGCAGCAAGAGTGTGCAGAAATGTCCAAGTAGCCCTCCCAAGGTCTTCTTTAGTCACAGGACCTACATACTTGTCCTGAAAGAATACAGAGTTAGATGGGTTCGTACACTCACTCACTCATGAAACCCTTTTCAATGAGTGTCCAAAGGTGAAACCTTTTAGTTTTAGCAAGAAAAGAACCCTAACAATCTGGAAGCAGGACACAGCGTATAACAGTATTGATTCACTTCATGTCTGAGTTCAACTAAATGTTAGCCATAGAGTGAAATGGTTCATTGGGGAATTTCATCGAACACTTGGTGGTGATCACAAGCAGGTGACTGTTTTGAAGAGTTTAAGCAAACAATTTCGAAAGACTAATTTAAATCCCTAGATTTTTAAAAAAGGGATTCGGTACCTTGAGAGGAAGTTTCTGAAGATTAGAGTTGTTGGTTGTGATTAGTGGAGGAGAGTCTAAGGAGATGATGGGGTTTTGGATTGTGGATGAGGAGGAAGGCGGAGGAGTACTACTTTTGATGCCCATGAAATTGGAGAGATGAGTTTGGAGGCAACTCGATAGTTTCTCGAAGGTCTGGAGAAGAGGCTGCCATGGATTCTCTGCCATATTCTTTTTTATTTTTATTTTTTTTTTTATTTTTTTTTTTTTTATTGAAAGACGAATGTTGTGAGAGAGAGGGTGGATAGTTTAAAGACCGTTGCCTTCCTTGTGTGAAAAATATTGAATCGCTTAATCTTACTAGTTGAGAATTCACTTTACTGATTTTTTGTTTAAGTGTTGAAATTTATAATTAAATCTCTTAATTTGATTGGTTGTTGGTATTTAAATTTTCATTTATTTAAATCAAGTTTCTAAAAGGAAATGAATCATAAAATTACCTAATCTGTTATCAAATAAACAATCAAATATCTTAAACTTAAGAGAATAATATTTTTTTTTGTTGAAACAATTGATTATCATAGATAACATTATATAAATTTATAATATAAATAGAGATATGATACTACATAAAAAATTATATAAAATATTTTTAAAATATTGTATTCAAAGTAGATACCATAAAACATGATTGCAGAAAATTAATAACTAGAAACCTAATAATATTTTTATTCATTATATACTGTATATATATATATATATTTTAAAAATATTTCAAATGAATGCAAAACAGTCAAATATATAATCTAAAAAAATCTATCGTTTTAATAGATAATGTGATATTATAGTTAAGTTATCACTTTTATAAATGATTAGAGTATTTTTATATTTAAAATATCATATTCTCATCTTACTATATATTAATTGAGAAGTCACTTCAATGATTTTTGTTTAGGTGTCACTCATACACTACAAGAAAACTAAGATTTTACTAGGAAAATTTACTAGGAAAATATTTCCTCGTAAACTTACTTCGGGTTTACGAGGAAAAAAAGTTTCCTCGTAACGTCCTCGTAAAGTTACGAGAAATCATTTTCCTCGTAAGACCGTAGTAAACTTACGAGAAAACTACGTGGCAAAAGACCATTCCTCGTAAGCTCGTAGTAAAGATTTACTAGGACTTTACGAGGAACTTGATAGAAATTGGGAGGAAATAATCTGTTATATACTTTCCTCGTAGTAAATACTTTCCTCGTAAAGTCCTAGTAAATCTTTACTACGAAATTGGGAGGAAATAATCTGTTACTTCAAATTAGCGAGAAACTTGATAGAAAATATCTAAATTAAATCTAAAATGTGTCTTGTACCTACTTTTCCTAGCATTTTCCTAGTAAATGCTCAGTTTCAAAAATTTATATAAGTACCACCATTTGTGATTCATTTCAAACAGACCAAAAAAAATTAGCTTTAAGCTTGATCAAAGAAAAAGAAATGTCCGGTCCTGGAAATATTTTTGAGTTGCGGAAGTGGATGTATTCACACAGAGATAATAACGAGAGATTTCTCGAAGGGTTAGAGACGTTTATGCATCGAGCAGATTCTACACCACTCACGTAGGAAAGTAGTAAGGTGTTCTGTCCTTGTCCGAAATACTGCAATACAAAATTAGGCCCTCGTGAAAATGTTTGGAAGCATTTAATAAATAGAGGTTTCATGCCATATTATTATATTTGGTATCAACATGGAGAAGATGCTAGTTGTAGGAATGAAGGTAGCAGTAGTAATAGAAATTTTCAGGTTGAACCGGTTGATCATTTGCATAATGAAAATATCTATCACCAGGAGGAACAAATGGTAGATTGTGATAGGGTTCAAGATATGGTAGGTGATGCATTTGTAACTCATGATGATGATGAAGTTGAAGAACCTCACTTAGATGCAAAAAAGTTTTTTGAAATGTTAGAAGCTGCGAATGAGCCAATTTACAGTGGTTGTAGAGAAGGTCTGTCTAAATTGCCGTTGGATGCTAGAATGATGAGTATTAAAACCGATCACAATCTACCTGAAAATTGTTTGGATGCATGGGCAGACTTGTTTAAAGAGTATTTGCCAGAAAACAATGTGTCTGCTGAATCTTATTATCAGATTCAGAAATTGGTATATAGTCCTGGGTTGCCCTCGGAGATGATAGACGTCTGCATCGACAACTGCATGATGTACTGGGAGATGATGAGAAGTTAGAAGAATGTCGATTTTGTAAGAAGCCACGATTCAAACCGCAAGGTCGAGGGCGTAATAGGGTACTGTACCAAAGGATGTGATACCTACCAATCACAGACTGATTGAAAAGATTGTACCAATCTGAGGAGACTGGTGGAGGGATGAGATGGCACGCCGAGCATACTCAGACGGATGGAGAGATGACTCATCCATCAGATGCAAGGGGCTGGAAACATTTAACAATGTACATCCACATTTCGCTAGCAATAGCCGGAATGTTTATCTTGGATTATGCACTGATTGATTTAGTCCATTTGGAATGTCTGGGAGACAATATTCATTGTGGCCGGTCTTTCTTACATCGTACAACCTGCCACCGGAGATGTGCATGCGACGAGAGTTTCTATTCTTGACCATATTAATACATGGTTCAAAACATCCAAAAAGATCTCTCGACGTTTTTCTACAACCACTGATAAAAGAATTGAAAGATTTGTGGTCAACAGGGGTGAGGACATATGATTGTTCAACGAAAACAAACTTTACGATGCGAGCGATGCTTTTGTGGGCCATAAGTGACTTTCCTGCATATGGGATGTTGTCTGGGTGGACTACACATGGGAGATTAGCTTGTTCATATTGTAATGGAATGACAGATGCGTTTCAGTTGAAGCATGGTAGGAAGACTAGTTGGTTCGATTGTCACCGTCGATTTCTTCCCGTTTACCACCCATACCAAAGAAACAAGAAATTGTTCAGGCACAAAAGGGTTGTCAGAGACACTATTCCTCCATATTTAACTGGAGAACAAATCGAAGCACAAATCGATTACTACGGTGCTCTAGAAACAGCTCCTCGTGGTGGGAATTGGCATGTTCCCAGTAATATGTCTGATTCTTATGGTGTTCAGCACAATTGGCACAAAAAGAGTATATTTTGGGAATTGCCATATTGGAACTTCTTTTGCGCCACAACCTCGATGTGATGCATATAGAGAAGAACTTTTTTTTACAACATTGTGAACACTATATTGAATGTCCCAGGGAAGACGAAAGACAACGTAAAATCGAGGTTGGAATTACATGATATCTGCTCAAGGAGTGAGCTACATATAAAAAGCAATGGGCAAGTTCCAGTTCTGATATTCCGACTGTCATCAGAAAAAAAGTCTGCGTTGTTCAACTGGGTGGCTTCAGAAGTGAAGTTCTCGGATGGGTATGTTTCAAATCTCTCAAGATGTGTTGAGAAAGGGCAAAAGTTCTCTGGGATGAAGAGCCATGATTGTCATGTCTTTATGCAGCGACTACTTCCCTTTGCATTTGCGGAGCTACTACCGGCAAAAGTACATTAAGCACTTCAGGTAATTAATTAATATAATACGATCATATGATTAATTTATTTCTTTATATATATATATACTAGTGTGGATAATTTTTGCTTTTGTAATATATAAGGAATTTGAGCATTTTTAGGGATCTGAGCACCCGCACTCTTAAAGTGGAAGTTGTCCAACAACTTCATGAAAACATCCCCGTCTAAATCTGCAACTTGGAGAAAATATTTCTGCCTATTTTTTTCGACGTCATAGAACACCTAATTGTCCACCTCCCGTATGAGGCATTACTTCGTGGACCTGTGCATTATGGATGGATGTATCAATATGAAAGGGCCATGAAAACTTTGAAAGGAAAGACAAAAAACCTAGCAAGAGTTGAAGGTTCTATTGTTACGGGAAGTTTGACGGAAGAAACCTAACATTTCACATCGTACTACTTTGCACCAAAAGTACGTACAAGGAAATGAGGTCCAAGAAGATATGATGATGGTGGTGTCGTGCCGACATATATGGAAGACGATGTTCCAGACATCTTTTGTCAAATTGGGCGATTGGGTGGGAAATTGAAAGAGGTTTGGTGGTCGAGTGATGAAGACGTCCATAGTGCACACCTTTATATTATTCTTAATTGCGAGTATCCATTGATTGGTTATTTTGAAAGGCAAATATATAAACATACACAGTTATATATATATATATATATATATATATATATATATATATTTCAATATTAAATAACATAACATATATGATTTTACAGCAATACCTGGTATATCGACAACTCAGTTAGGCAAAAGAAAAGATCAACACTTTATCAAATGGTTGAGGAAACATGTATTTATTATAGCTTAATTTATGCATACATTACCACAAAGTAAGTCTAATGTCTAGTTCTATTATTTTTTTTACAGGTTGATTATGGCGATACTAAGTATCTTGCATGGTTTCGCGAATTACTTCAAGGTCCAGTTGCAAAGGTCACTGCATCATCGATGTATTTCACCCGAGGCTATACTTTTCATACCTATGACTATGGTAGATACCGGGCGACAAGTAATTATGGAATATGTGTGAAAGGCGAAACAGATTTCTACGGGATCTTGCAGGAGATTTATGAAGTTCAATTCCCAGGTATGAGTTTGAAATGCGTTATCTTCAAGTGTGAGTGGTATGACCCCGTCGTCAACAGAGGTGTTCGGATTAACACGAACGGTGTAGTTGATGTCAATGGTGGACGAAGGTACAACAATTTTTTTTTTATATCCAGGTTTCTAGTATTAATTAATTTCTACGTTGTCTTTAATTTTGCAGGTACAACAAATTCAAGACTTTCATATTAACTTCCCAAGCATATCAAGTTTGCTTCATTCCATACCCTCGGATTACTACCTCAGGAATAAACTGGTTAGCTGTTATCAAAGTTACACCTCGAGGACGAATAATCGCTGGAGAAGAACCACCATTACAAGAAGAAAACACCAATGAGATCGAGGAACCTGAAGCAGAAATTGATGACATCCTACTCATTGATCCGCATAATCGTGAATACGAAGATGTTCCTGATCACACAACGAACAAAGGTGTAGAGGACGAGTTTTACGAAAATGATGATGTTTCAACAGATTACGAGAATGTATCCGAATGAATGATGTATGTTTTTAAGTTTGTTTAATCAAAAAAAATGAATTTGAATTATGTATGTTTTAA